GACGAGCTGTTTCTGCTTCCTTCCCAGGTCCAATTTAGTCCAGCTGACGAGGATGGAATATGCCATGAAGTCCCTCAGCCTTCTCTACCCCAAGTCCAAGTCCAGGTGAGGAGAGCCCAAGGGCAGAAGGGAAGCAGAGCCACCTATGAGCTGTAGGCCAGACCTTCTCAAACTTCAGTGGGTATGTAAGTCATGTGGGGATTTTGTTCCAATGCATATTCTGATGCAGAAGGTCTGGCATGAGTCCTGATTTTGTACTTTCAACAAGCCCCCAGGTGATATCAGTGCTGTCACCTCCACCCACCACCATACATTGGGTAGAAACAGTAGACACTGTACTTGGTGCTTTATTCCTGATCCCATTTAAGCCTCACAACAACTTTGAGAAGAGGAGGTTATTAAACCAACTTAATAGATGAGGAAACTGAGGCACAGAGTGGGTGCTCTTAGTCACCTAGCAAATCCACAGCAGAGCCAAGATTCAGACCTGGGCCTGCCTGACTCCGAAATCCAGGTTCTCTCTACTTCTTTGGTTCTATATTGTGTATCTCAGAGTTCAAAAATACCTTACATTGGTTTCAGGCTTCCGCCACTTCATCCCACTTTACAGGCCGAGAGAGGCGGTAATCGGAATGTGCCGTCTTTTATCCCCTTGCTACTTACTCCCCATGGTCCAGGAACCGGCAGCATCAACATCACCTGGGAACGTGTTAGTCATATAGAATCTCAGGCCGCACCCAGACCTACTGAATCAGAGTCTGCATTTGGACAAGACCCCCAGGTGACTAATATGCCCATCAAAGTTTGCGATGCTCTGGCAGGATTTTGAGTAAGACTATCCAGAGCAGGCTTGGCGGGTGGTATGGGAGGAGGTCTACAGTGAACCCAGTCTGCAGGGGTGGAGGAGTGGTTACGCTGGTGGGGTGGGGGCTGAGAGCTGCTGGCAGCTCATCCTGATGCTCCAACCACCCCCAGGCATGTGGCAGTGAGCACCTCAGTGGTGACCCAGCAGCTGCTGTCGGAGCCCAGCCGGGAAGCCCCCAGGGCCCGGCCCTACCGAGTAAGCACCGCGGACCGGAGCGAGCGCAAGGGCGTCATGGCGCACAGTCTCGAGGACCTCCTCCACAAGGTGAGCGCGGGCCTGCGCTCTGCACAGCCCAACCACTTGGGCCTTGGCCGAGAGCTGGCCCTGCTGGCGGCCTCTGTCCTCTAGGTCAGGAGCTAGGATTCCGCAAGGATGGAGGTCAGGGATTAGAAGGTTTCCGTTCTGAT